ATTCACAACATTGACCAAATTTTCCCCAACAACGTAGCATACTATTGATGTACATCACAAAAAAAACCTATATCCTACCTGATATTATTGCGAACGTGATGTTAGACACCTACTTATATATTCATTCCACTTATTAATCAACAAAACTGTGTGAAAACAATGTACACAAAATATGGAAAATTAAATCCAGGACCTTTGTCAAGACATGGAGGAATTATTGGTTAAAATAATAGAATCCAGGATCTTCTTTTAGAGTGAGGGGATGGGATGACTCCTTTCCCCTTACCATAACTACGATAGTTTTGACATTTCTTGTGTTATAGAAGGCACAGTTAGCTTCCAGTCAGCTGGAGAATTATTTAAAAATCAGCCAAGACAGTTATTATCAAACTGCAGAAGTTTGTCAGTAAGTCAGTCTCCAATGTTTCTTGATTAATACAAACCAAAGCAAGATTATGAGAGGAGAGGATTTACATGCGTAAAATGACTATATATGTCGGTTCCCTTCCACCCTGCGCTAAAATATATAGACTGAAAAAAACTATATATTTTATTCATTTATTTTATTTCACTCTCAGGGAGCAGAGAGTAAATAAAATATAAAATTACAGCAAAAAAAATTGTTAAAATCACACATTCAGTGAAGTGTCCATTATATATGAACGGTGACTGATAAAACAATATTTATTAATTGGATTTACGTAAACTTCATGTGAAACACGTTTTTTGTACTGAATTTATGCAGGGTACTAAAAAAAAACCCCGGAGCCTTGCAGGCGTCAACGTTCTTGTGCATGATACATGACTTTATCAGAAAATATAAGGTTGCCTAAAATTTGTGTGGTGGTTTAACGTGAACAATTCCGGAGGATTGAGTTTTTACGGTCCAAAATAGTGATTTTTGACGGTCCAAAATAGTGATTTTTGACCACATCGTTTATGTTATTTGATAGGCAAATTAGGTTAGTAGAATCCATTATTTTTTTATTTTATTTATTTATTTATTTTATTTTGTAGGCCTATGTAGGTACACAGTATTTTACAGTAGTTTGAAACGATATCGGGGGGTGGGGGTGCTGGCATGGCCTACTAGACAACAACATATTAAACCACCAGCAGGCGTCAACGTTTCTATGCAGAATAGTGGTGACTGGATTTAATACATGAAATATTTCAATTTGAAAAAATATTTAGGCCGTTTGCTGTGTTATGCTGCGGTAGCGAAAATGCTGGCCTATTGGCCTAATTAATACATCAACTGTGATACATTTATCGCTATGGATTGTTTTCAACTTCGCAGGGACCCATTCAGGGACGCACTGCTTCCTGTTCCCCCACTCCTTTGTAAACAGTTTCAATACAAATTGCTTCCTTAAATCACTCAGACTCATTAATAGTGATCAACAGTAAAGTAAACAGTTTGGGACAAATATTATATAAGGCAAAAATAAAATTACAGTAATATAACAATATTTAGTTTTATTTCAAAATTATTAATTACTATGCAGTATCACAAAATACAATACTTTGTTATGTCAGTACTGTTTGCACTAGTATGTAAGTGACACCTTGATATTTTCCACAACGGCAATATGGGCCAGGATGCCAGACAAGATGCAATGTGAATACAGTGATGGATGGCGAATTAGTAAACTAATCCCAAGGGAGTCACTGTCAGTATAACAAAATGTTGAAAAACTTTTCCTGAAGATGTCTACATACACACACACCCCCCCATACACACCCCCACACGGAAAAAAAGTGAATACAATAGTTCCTATTGCATTACATGCATAGGAACTAATAAGGGTAATGCTAAACCATTACCTACCCAGTGGAAGTTTTACTGAACTCACAGTAACCAATCGTTATAGAAGAAATTGTACCGCGATTGAAAATTGACTGTTCTGTACTTCAATCTTTATCTTTGTATATAATATATAAAACAGACTCCATCTTGTAGGTATTAGTTTTGATAAATTGTTTCCTTTTCTTCATAATTTAAGAGCACATTATATTGTTTGCATTAACGAGTATCAACAAATGTATAATCGACCTTTCAAAATACCGTACACTACCCTTTCAATTTTTAAATAAACATTTTCTATATTTCCACTACTCTTAAAAAAATCGTGGTGATGGAGTCTGAGATATGTGTGTGTGTGTATTTATACAGTATATATACATAATATACTGTATACTATTTATTATATATACAAACATATACCCTATGTATATACACAATAGGTACAGCTGGAAACAAATAATAGAATAAAAGCATATAATATAAATCAAGATAGCCATTAACACTGTTAAATTATTATACAAATCATCAAAGAAAGGTAAATGCAGTGTTCCAATAAAGGACGTAATTACATCGTGTAGCATAGCTCTCAACGAATTATTTGATTTATCAATCATTTAGGGTATTCAATTGGGAATTATCCGCTGAGCATGATAGCCCCATTAAGAACAATCTCACCGAAGTATTTGGGGATTGGTTATTAAGAGCATTTTTTCTCTAAAATGGGGATTGGCCGAACAAATGAACCACATACTGTACTCCTAGTAACAGATTTGTTTACCAGGTTGTCTGGCACAGGAGTGGTGCCAGTATTTGCCGGAGAAAGAATGGGTGACTGACCTTGTCCATGGCTACAGCATTAGTGGACAATACTAGGGTTGCCACATCCACTATTAAAATATATGAAAGGTGTTAAAATAATGATCTACGATAGAGCAGAGTGGTGGCTCTAGAATAAAAATTCTTTGAGGTATTGGGGGAGTAGGAGGTCTGCTAGGCTGTTCACTAGAAATCTGCGGAATCTAAGGACAACGCCCGGTAAGGATCCAGTAGAATAACCTTCTACTGTGTAGGAAATGATCTGTAGGTCAATTTTCCTGACGGCTAAGTGTGCGGGGACAGGAACGGCCAGGCACCACTCTGGAGGTCTAAAGATTAAATACCTGGAAAATCCAACATCCAACAGTTAGGGATTTGAAAGTCTTATTTAATAAATTGTAGGTTTTTTTTCCTCCTCCCCCCCCCCCACCAAATGAACAAATGAACCACATACTGTACTCCTAGTAACAGATTTGTTTACCAGGTTGTCTGGCACAGGAGTGGTGCCAGTATTTGCCGGAGAAAGAATGGGTGACTGACCTTGTCCATGGCTACAGCATTAGTGGACAATACTAGGGTTGCCACATCCACTATTAAAATATATGAAAGGTGTTAAAATAATGATCTACGATAGAGCAGAGTGGTGGCTCTAGAATAAAAATTCTTTGAGAAATTGGGGGAGTAGGAGGTCTGCTAGGTTGTTCACTAGAAATCTGCGGAATCTAAGGACAACGCCCGGTAAGGATCCAGTAGAATAACCTTCTACTGTGTAGGAAATGATCTAGGTCAATTTTCCTGACGGCTAAGTGTGCGGGGACAGGAACGGCCAGGCACCACTCTGGAGGTCTAAAGATGAAATACCTGGAAAATCCAACATCCAACAGTTAGGGATTTGAAAGTCTTATTTAATAAATTGTAGGTTTTTTTTCCTCCTCCCCCCCCCCCAACAAATTGTGCTCCCAGACATGGAACCCAGCCCTTATTGATGCGAATCCCCTTTTCCCTTTTAAGCAAACTCTCTGATTAACCAACTGGCTTGCATAAATACTATTAATATGATGAACTTTGCCATTTACATGCTAGCATCCTTCAACTTCTGAGGCCTTTCCCCCTCCCTTTCCCATCGTACCCCTCCCGGAATCCCAACAATAGGCATATAGGTTTCTCCTGGGTCTCCTAGATACCTGATATAGATACTTGGTTATGACAGCCTACAAATTATGTAGGTCTAATGCAAGGAGTATTATCAAATCTATGAGAAATCAAAGAAGTTCAGTAAAATGACTAGGCTATTAGGCCTATTTACATCTTTTTAAATCCAAAAATACTGTTGTCATATAAATGATATCTCATTGTTGCCGGTATGAAATGGGACTTTCGAATAGGGAAATTCAACCATTAGTTACAATGGCTTTTCTAATATATCTGCATCATTATTCAATCCGATTTTTCTCAATGATTTGACAAAATCATTCATTGACCTTTCATCATCTTTGATAATTCCTTTGTCTTCCAGTGCCAATATTAGATGCCACTTATCCACATCGTGTACATTCAGATCTTGATGAAAAAACACAATTTTTTGAATGGATTCCTCCTTCAAATTCTTGCCAAATTTGATCAGTTTTCGGCGATAAACGGAAAACGTACTGATTGAATCTTTGAAAGGAAAACTGTCAAAGGATTCAATTTGTTTTATCTTACGGTATACACCATCAAGACCACAAATCTTAACTGCCTCAAAAATGACAGAAAATTCTTCACAGCTGCAATCACCTGAGCCAATCAATAATTCAAACAAACTTATTACATCATCCTTCTTTTCTATTTCCCCCACACCCACTTTACACTTAAACTGTCTAAGCAAAACCTTTAACATGCTGATATTTCCATGTTTCTTCCAATAATCTGACACAACAAGCAGCATACTCTTGAAATCATTTATGGTGATACCTGAAACTGCAAAATAATATAAGTTATAATAATATATTTGTGTATATTACATATACACCTGTCTCTTATACACATCTTATATTCATTCCACTTATTAATCAACAAAACTGTGTGAAAACAATGTACACAAAATATGGAAAATTAAATCCAGGACCTTTGTCAAGACATGGAGGAATTATTGGTTAAAATAATAGAATTTTAATAGGCTGCTGATGTTGCACCATGAGCATAACAAATTTCTATGTCTCGACAAATGACAACAAAATATATCAGAACAAAAAGAATGGCTTTTCCATCCACTGCTGACTATTTTATGTTACCTTTTTGTTTTTTGTGTTGCCTTCTTTCTTTCTCATTTTTCCTCTTTTTTCCCTTTGGGCTCTCCTGCCCTGCGTTGCTGAGAAGTAACGGTTCTATAAGAAATATATCATAATAATTAAGGATTTGATGTGGCGGGGTTGCACCTTCAATTTGGTTTCTGGTATTGTGACCGTGTATGGAATAATCAATTCAACATTTTAGGTAAAATTTTGAAAGATATTTGTACATAAAAATAGCCATTTCTTTTAAATAAATGTCAAAAATATTAAGCCTTCAATTTGAAGTTACAAAAAAGAAGACGAATGAGGAAGGTAGTGGACGTTACAGCAACTTCGTAAAGCCTTTTTCTGAAGAACGTATACAGTATTCTATTTATTACTGGATTTCTAGTGTCGGAAATAAAAAAGCTACAGCATATACGAAACAATGCTGCAAGGCTTGTTGCACGTGCAAAGCGTCACATCCTATACTTCCTCCCATCTCACATCACTCCTATACTTCGTCATCTCCACTGGCTTACTGTTGAAGATTGCATAGTTTTTAAAGTACTCTTAATAACCTTTAAAGCTCTTCATGGTATCACACCTTCATACATCTCTGAAACAACTGAAAATTACCATACATCACGGATTCACGCACACAAAGATAATCATCTAATAAGCTTTTACAAATACACCCAAGACTTCAACCACTACCTATGTCCAGAGAGCCTTTTCATCGGTATCTCCAGGCTTTGGAATGAACTTCCTCTACGTATTCGTTGTGCTGACTCAGTTGAGTCCTTTAAGGCCTTGCTCCAAAAACATCTTTTTGCTCAATCATAAATCACTTTTCATGCTTTTAATTCAATTTTGTGATTGTACTGTCTCTTGGAGCCACTATCTTTGCTGCAGTCTCTGAGCACCCATTCGTCTGTGGGAGGGTAAATATGAATCCTGCTCCTTTGTTCGCGCCGCCTACTGTAGGTAGAGGTCTGGGATTGCACAAGAGCAGAGGCGGATGGTTGACCTTAAGAGACCGTGCACTGCTCGCCACCACACCTTATTACTACTATGTTTATTATCATTTTTGTTTTAAATCCTTTTTAGTTGTTGTTAAGCGCATAGAGGCAGTTTCTTGTAATATGCAATTTATTATTATTATTATAATGATTTTGTATAGTTAACCTGATAGGATTAATTTTTTAAAGACACTTATCACCCTAGAAACCTTTGTAGCAATCATATTGATATAATTGAATGATAGTACCCAGAATTTTGCAAAATTTGATTGTTCAATTTTCTTATTAATAATATTTAACTGTACTCTATAGCGAAGATAGATCAACTCGCTTGTTCTTTTATTTAAATAAAACATACAATACTCGGGTATAAGGCGAGCTGCGTATAAGCCGACCCCCAAGTTTAAGAAGATTTTTGCGAACAATTTTTGTATGTCAGACCGATCTCCGTTTCATTGTCGGTATTCCTACTTTGCTGCTTTTTATGATATTAATACCGCATCTAGCTGGCTAAAAAATGGAGCCAAATGCAGAGCCAATCTTCAAATTAATACCATTTTTTATAAGATTTTAAATGTTCATCAAAATCTTATTTCTCCATATTTAAAATTGCGTTCATTCACACTAACATTTAATAGCTTCTACGCAGTAGCAAATTCGCATGTTACGGATGATCAGCACATACAACAAACAAGATTTTAAGTTATCTAAAATTTGTATGTACCGTAATTTCAAAGACTTGATAATTGTTCTTATGACTACAGAACACAGTAGTATAATCTGAAAACATAACATATATTCAATGTTTTCCCCAAAGTAACTAATATCATTAGTATCAGTGGTCAAAGAAAAGACCCTTGTGGAACTCCACAATAAACAAGCTTCTTTTCCAAAGTGTTACTATTAATGCAAACATATTCTTCTCTATTTTCCAGATAGTCAGCAAACCATTTTAATGGTAGTAAACATCTAATTCCATAGTGTCTAAATTTTTTTCTAATAGTATTTGGTGATTTCTTGTATCAACTGCTTTATTTGAATCAAGAAATATTCCAAGAAAAAAACTACATTCAATAGCTGACATAATCTTTTCAATAGAGTAGAGAAGGGCATGGTTATTTGAGTAAACTGTAATTACGAAGCACTTAGAACATTGTGCTTTATAGACAGGTAAGATATTGTTTGGCCCTTTTCAAAAATTGTGTTGGTGAGATTGAGATGGATAGTAACTTATTTGTTCTTTATTCCTATTTTTCAAAATGCATAGTTACCAACCTGCGAGATTTGAAATGCGTGACTACACCAGTTGGCTGGGGGCTGAGGGAGGGGAAACCAGGACCACCATCAGAGTCTAGGGGCGGATCCCCGGTGGGGTCAGAGTTTCAGTCACATTATTAACAGTTGGCTGTGGCAATGAACGCGCAACACTGCACACGCTTCAGATTCTACTAAGGTTAGCTGGGTAGTTATGGTCGAGAAAGAGAGATTTTGTCGGTGAATTGATTCTTGAATGAGATAACGAAAGTTGTAATGACTCAAGTTACTCCATGAATGTTTTTATATCGTTAATAAAACCAATTTCTTCTAATTTTAAATACATTTTCCACTGAATTCATGTTGATTCGTTATCATGCATAGACTTGTACTAAATGCATGACAAATTTATGATCATGTATGTGTTTCTGCAAAATGCATGTTTTATCCAAAATAACTGTAAAATGCAGGACCTTCCTGCAGGATGCGAGACAGTTGGTAACTATGAAATGGGCATGACTTTTGCGATTTTCATGTCATCTGGGATGAAACCATTTGTTAAAGAGGTATTTATGGCAGTGGTTCCCAACCGTTTTGCATTCGCGGACCCCCATGTCTAAATATACACACTGTCCATATCCCAACAATTTATTTTATGTGTATGGCACTTCTGTGGCCGGAAATTTTCTTTTACTCCCCATTGAATTTTTAATTTTGGTAAACTCATGTTTGATATTCCACCAATAAGATTATGGATGGAAGACAATTCGCCAAATTATGACATCTGGGATCTTGGAATTCGACATAGACAAGAAAAAAAAAACAGCGACAGATAGGGGAATTACGCTACCTCAGCCCCACCATGTTTATGGCACTTCTAGACGGGCAGAAATGACACTGTCAGACTCAAAATTGCAATGAATATTCTGTTATCCCCCCCATTTACTTTTAAATTTGTCAAATTTAGGGTTCCATCCTGATTTTTGAAATTTAATAAATATCCAGGTAAAAGCAATAAAAGAGAAAATATGGAAACAAGATGTACATTACCTGAGGATCTCCTATACTAAACATCTTTACATAAAAAATACATAAAAACTAATTTAAGAGATTCCATCAGATCACCAATAAAATATTGGAATTCAAATATAGTGCCAGTTAAAACAATTTACAGTGAACGAAGTCATGGGTATATCATTATTGTCAAGGCATGATCACACTGTTGTAAGACAAGAAAAATAATGGAATCATGAACAAGTTGTTCTTATAATCTAGCAGACCCCCTGTTAACCCCTTTCACTTGGCGGACCCCAGGTTGGGAACCACTGATTTATGGTATGGGTGAGAGGCTTGAGAACTGCCCTTGATGCGACTTTATGGTAATCTGATCATGTTCAGCTGCGGTAGGTTTAAGTTAAGAATGTGTTCACTGTATAATTCATTCTCACTCAGACGAGACATTTTTTTTATACCTTGTACTTACATTTTTAAAGATTATTGTTTTGCCAAAATCATCCAGACGGAGAAGAAAATAAAAATAACATTTTATTGGTCAATGTAAAATAGGATGGTTAAATGCTTCAAATTCATATAATTAAGAAGAAATACATCTCATCCTTGGAGGTTTCAAGGCAGCGGAGGGTGTAATAAAAATAAAGAAAAATTTTTTATTTTTTTTCTAAAATTTCCACTTTTTCGTGGCGACGGGTGCCCTAATTGGCCAAAAATGAAATTATATTTTTATTTCGAAATCATTATTATTATTTGCAATCGGCAGGTATATAAACAAGGTATAAAAAAAAGTCTAGCCTCAGGAACAGGTTTGAAACATAATTTCCTCTTAAAAATGCAGAGTGATGGTTTCCATAATGCATTTTGATTTATAAATTCATCAAGACGCTGCCTTGAAAAAAAAAAATGCATCGGCTTTGTTCTTGATACTTGTTCGACCAGTATTTGAATTTGTTAAAATATTGCACACAGTTGCAGCCTAGTGTTTCCTACCCAATAATTGATTAATGATCTTCCAAGCTTTATATTTTTAATATTTTCAATTTTTGTTTAACAACAATAATAAAAGGAAATCAAATGTAGCTCATGGAGAGAGCACAAAAATACAAAATACTAAAAATTAAAAGACCTACATTATGCAAGAAAAACATCAAAATTCTATTATACCTGTCTTGGTTCTGCATTCACCAAACAAGTATTTAATTCGTTTAATCCTCATCCCCTTATGTGTCTCATTACACAGAACACATTTTTTGGCTGCAATACATCTCTCCAGTTTGAGGCAGTCTGTGTTCTTGCAAAATTTACAAGGAATGTAGAAGCCATAACTAATGCGTTTCATCCAGTTGCGGCCAAGGTACTGTAGGTGCTCATCCAAGAGATTCCACAGCTACGAATATAAAGTTATAGACAAATCTGTAATTTATCTCATAATACATGGTTACAAGATTATTGTGAGATTTGAATCTTGAACATGCATAGATAGCATTTTCCACTGGATTGACTTGTGGATATTGGCACATAATTATTACTACCGTAATACTAACTTAATCAGGCATAGTCCAAAGGTAGAAAATCACAGATGTAGCCAAAATCCAAACACAGATAAGCTGCAGGCAACCGACCATTTTATATTATAATCTGACCAAATGTTTGTGATGATTCATCAGCCAGGTACACCTGCACACAATAATAGCACTTTTATATATAACAAGGGTATTTTTTAGCTCCTAATTGTGTAAGTTTAATATCATAAAATAAAACAATTTACACTAACACTTATTATTTGATTTTAATATTATTTCCTATGATTTACCAGCTGCTACTATCTAAAAAGGTACTATTTAAAGTAAATTAAAAATTTGCTCCATTATATGTGAGCCTTCAAGTTTGTTGACTTTCCATTCATATTCCTATATTTTTTAGCACTGTATTATTATCTATTTGATTTTATTTATAAATTATTTGTGTTCCCAGTGCTAAGCAGCTTTATTTGAATATACATACATATAATACTACTGTAAAAAACACTGCAAAACAACAATGCTGTGGGAAACTATGTCTGGATCTTGGTAGAGATACAATGCAACATAAAGGCTTTTTTTATTTGATGATTATTGTGTACAGAATCAAGAATACAGTAGTAAAGCAGTCAGAATTAGATGTGTTTTTGCATTTAAAGAATTTTAAAGATGTTGAAAAATGTGGGATGAATTGTTTATTGATTAATAAAATAATACAACTATCTAAACAGAAAACTATCGTGTATCATTTTAGATCCTCCTGAAACACAAACACAAGAACCTTATTTCAAGTTACCTTATACATTTTTTTTTTCAAAACAGTGAAGGATTACGATTTTGCCATGATCAGACTTAAATTTGAATATAATTTTCTTTTTTTCTCCATTTTTTATAATTTTGAAAAATTTAGGGGTGGGGAGGGAAAACGGTTGGGCCCCTTTGAATCTGCCAGTGTCTGGGCCTAAAAGTCTTCCTAGTACATCAGTAGGCCTATTTATTAGGTTTGGTTTTTCAACACCAACTATAATTTTTTGTTTGTTGTAAAAATGAGGGGATCATGCAGTCCCGCGAGCAGTGGGTTGAATGCCGGGGGGTCATAGTGAATAATATTCAAAGCAAGTTGCTGCATAGCACCATAAACAATATAAACAAATAGATAAATAACAACAGTGATGATGATTTATGAGAGGAGTTTTTACTTTCCAATCTCCAGCAATAAGACACAGGGAAGATTTGGGATGTAAAGAAAAATGTTAAAATTATGAACACTGCAACTTACCGAAGTGGGACTTCACTGTTAAATTGGGTATTAGTTGCACAGGTATTAGCAAACATGATTCAAAAGGCAAAGTATGTCCGGAAATTTTGAAACATTAGTTACCATTAAGTTAGGAGCATTTCCTTTACACAAAAAGTTTGTTTGTCCAATTAACTAAAAAGTGCTACTTAAATGGTACTGAATTAACAATACAATAAAAATTGTTTCAGTCCATTATGTATGTAAAATGCAGGAGAGCACTAAATTGCTCTCCTTGAAAATTTCACAGCTTTGAATAGATGCCCCCACCCCCAGGAGTGGATCCAGGTGTCCAAATTAGGGGGCGGGCGGGCGATCGAGAGACAACACTACCCTAGGGGGATCCAGTATGCCCCGGGAAAATTTGTTTTCTAGACGCACAGAAATTATTTCTGAGGCATTTCAGGCAATCAATAATCGAGGGAAAACCGGCCTCCCCTTCCTCCCCCCTCCCCGCAAATCCTCCCCTGCCTCTCACTCCAGAGCCTCATTTAGAATAAACCCTCTCGAAGCAGCACCTGGAGGACGCAGAATATCGTATTTTTTTTGGCGTCACCTGTGTATAAC